ATTCGAAAATTTCGCATGCTAATTTTCCCGCGCATTCTAATTATTATTGTCGCGGCTAAGAGAAATTAAACGAGAATTTATCAATAAATTGATTAATATCACATAACCGTTGCGCATACTTTGCATCGGCAATCCTCAACGATCTTTTCTTATTGCATAGCGAACATTGGTCTTATCGGATATCTATGATCCATATCAATGCTTCGAATCGAAATACCACTAATTAAATAAATCGAACTTTTAATTATTCGAAATGCACTTCTCCGAATTAAACGCTTCCCGAATGATATTAATTTCGTTTTAATTGCAATGATTTCAAATTTATTCGCATGCTCAGAGTTATTAATAAGAGCTTAAGCGTTATTTTCACTTTAAAATCTTTTTTATCCACAAATGACTTACCTCTAAAAATATTTATGTTAAGATTGTTGAATATTCGTGGTAGCCCAAAATCATTAAAAATCTATTATAAGGACAATGTTCTATGGCGTTGTTATATTAGAAAATAGTTTGATCTTCTTTGCTTCATTCGTTCAACGTAAGTATATTCGAGTTGCTTACTTTAAGTATTCCCGCGCTCGTTACTTTAATTTATTCAATGCCAAGCTCTTTAATCTTTCCGATGATAAATTCAATATTAACGAGGTAACTGCAATGGAAGTGAAGCACGGTCAGCTACCCTAACAAAATGATATTGAATCGTTGACTGAGGTAAGAATACTGGATGAACGTCAAATCTATCAGAAAATGTAATATCCTGCAGATAAGGATACTTGGATCGTATTATCGTAGCTTATTTTTACTTCAAATTATAATTTCAAAGTATACTTATGACCTAATTTGCATATATACATAGTTGAATATTATTGATTTCTTTAAAATTGCAAGCTAAACTAGTTTCTCTCACGTAACACAGTTGCGCGCTAATGTTTTTCAACATCACAATGAAATGTTTAAGTAAAAATGCTCATTTATAAATATTAATATTCACAGGTATAAATATACGCGTCGAACAGAATGAAAAAGAAAATAATGGCACATATTTTCATTATATTCCGTTACAACGCGTCAAATAAATCTCACGAGGGCTGGTTTCATTACCTTCGATCGCTGCAAAATAAAACGCCCGCCTTGATCAATTGAAATCAATCAGAATAAAAACATTAGCGCGAAGCCTGTGATTTTCTTAAATTACTTGTGCTCGTGCTCAGTCAAATTGAAGAGAGCGTTTATACGAACGATGCGCACGTGATATCGAGCCGAGCACTATCGCTTTGAACGGATCTGAAAATAGAGACAGAGAGAGAGAGAGAGAGAGAGAGAGAGAGAGAGAGAGAGGGATGCTAGAGAACAGAGCAAAGAGAGTAAAAAGAAAATGCGACTTCGACATCATTATTATTCCGTCGTAGCATCCTCATCCAAAACCTCGCGTGGGCGGTCTGCCTAGACAAGGAAGGGTAAAGATGAATAAAATTCGCGTGGGAGACACGGGGTCGAAAACTTTTCCGGCGAGTGGTCGAGTGAGATATTGTACAGTGAGTCTCGCTGATAGAATCTGGATTATATCAAGCGATCGTGAATCCCTCGTGGTAACACAACGATTCCACAGGGAAATCGTTGCCTTACCTTGGGAACAGAAACCTATTCGAGAATATGAATAAAGGATTCGTTTCGGCTCTTATTCTTGCAAAGTTTTTTCGTTTTTTGTTTTTTTTATAGGATATGGGAGTTCCTTTGTTAAATTGTTATAAAGTAGGGCATTGAGATCTTAATTTTTTTTTTTTTTTTTTTTTTCAATCGCGTCTTTGCCAATCTATCATTTTTATAGGCTCCTAATTAAAATTATATTCGTTCGACTGTCACGAATGATTTTTAAAAGTTATTTTTATTTGAATGACTATAAGGCTTAGGGTGTTATACTTACGCTGTTTTTTTATTAAAAAATTCTTGTTAACAAACATTTTTGAAAATTATTGTAAACATGACTTTTCTTTTAGAACTGCGTATAAAAGAAAAAAAAAGAAATGTTTTCTAATCTTCTTCATGATAATGATAAAGTGCATCACGACATGGAAAAAAATTTTTCCGATATAAAAAACGCTAAGAAATTCTGAATTTTCATAAAAAATAATTAAATTTGATTTAATATAAATGTTTTCGTTAACGTCGAGACAAGTTTTCTTATCGTTAATTAAAATTCTTAAATTTTTTGTACTGCGCATTAGCGTTTATTTTTCGTTTTTTTCTTAGAGTTTAATAATCATTACTAAGATTGCTTATTAATTAAACTGAAATTTCAACGCGTAGAACTATTAATAAATTTATTTCCAATTCTTATTGGAAATAATATGATTGTATTCGTTTATATGAATCGAGGTATTATAATAGAAATTAAATTATTTATAAATTCATAGATAAACAAATTTTTAAAACATAATCATTATCAAATAATTTATTTACACTTTATTGCCATAAATAATTTATATTTTGTTAATTTTATCAATATCATTAAAACTTTATTTTCCATGCTGTAAAAATTATTTAACATTCATAGGGTGTGTGTGTTTAGAAACTTTCGAATTAAGGTTCAGTGACACCTGTACGACGGCAAGTGGCTCATGTTGTTAAGAGAACGTGTTTGCCGATATCAGTTACATAATCCAGATGCATTCGTTAAATTTATTTTAATATATTAGTTCATTGAATTACATTTCATTTAGTGGCAATGCCTTTCAACACTTTTGATAAAATTCTATCCAGTTAAGATTTTAGAATAATAATTTTTTAATATACTCATTAGCTAAATTGTATTTCAATGCGAATATAAACTTATGATTCTCTAAAAATGACAATAACATGTAAGTATAGTAATGTTCGGTACTATTATTGTTATCGTATAAAATGAAAAATTTATTTATAAAATACTAGCACTAATTAAAGAAATATATATGTATATTAATATTGGTTGAACGAAAGTAAGGATTTCTCAAAACTATTATTCGACAAAGTATTATTAGAGTGGCGTGGATAATTTCTAGATCAATAATCATTTAGGTTTTTTTTTTTTTTTTTTTTTTTTTTTTTTTTTTTTTTTTTTTAACGAATTTCATTATCATTCATTATGATATACAATTTATTACACTTCAGTTGGTTTCTTTTTATTTATTATTTTTTAATTTGTAGAGTCGTATTTTAAATTAAAATATGATGAAGATTAAATTAAAAACGTGAAGCAATTGATTTGTATCCATTTATGTTGTTAGAAATAATTTACTTATTATATAATTTTTACTCTACAAAATTCACTATTTATGTCAGTCCATAAACATATAAATTTTGTGTATAGTAGATTATGTATTTCCCGTGACATTAAATTTGAAATTTTAAGGCTATACACATCGAGATCATAGAAGCTCTAAAAAATCTTATTCTATATGTATTGACTAATTTCACATATAGATAAAAAAAATTTATTTTTATCCCGATTTATAAAAATTAACATTTTGCTCTAACGCGTGATTTTACATTTTTACTTAAAAAATTAGCATTTCTCTTACTCTTTGTATTGAAAAGGATCTCACGTACGATGCTGAATGTTTTATTTGATTTCTGGACAAGTGAGTAACGTAAATTCCAAATTCTATATCTGCAAGTTTAAAGGAAAAATCTTTACTGACAAATTCGAATAAACTTTCAATGATTATAATTATATTTTGTTATTTTAAAGGAATGTTAACATCCGGTTAACAGAATTCAGAATACACATTCAACAGTCAGATCTAATTTAATAACTAATGAATAGATGAAATATGTATAATCTTGTTTTAATCGATCGATAAAGTCAAAATTATCGAGGTATTTATGTAATTAATAATTTTCGTAAAACATTCCAAACTACGATAATTTTGTAATACCAATATCAGCAGGTCACTTATTTCGTGGATAAAAAATATTTATTCATATTTTCAGAATGTGAGATAATTTTTTCTAAATAAATATTTTTAATATGAAAATAATCGAATTTTTCAAGCAAAAGCGTTTAAAGTTCAGAGTTTCGGCAAAACATCAACATATGCCATAAAAAAATCTTTTTGCATGAAAAATATACGGAAGTTGTTCGTTGTTAATTTTGTACTTCCACACATGTATTTTTAGAAATTGAGATAAGATCTCAATTTTTCTGCAATTGTTATTAAATCTAGTTCAGGTTATATTCCAAATACGTGTTAATCAATATAAATAACCATGTTCGTATCACATGAAATCGTGTTTTACTAGCTGTAATAATCAGAACTTTGATTAACCGTTATTAACCGAGAAAATTTATATAAACACTACATCCGTATTATTTATTTATTTATTTATTTATTATTTTTTTTTTTTTTTAATAAATGAGAGTAAATTGATACAGGCGTAAATTGACGGTTAACGATAAAAGTAATATTTTCGTACGCTTACATTACAAATAGTATCGCGAAAGCACCGATTGACTGAATAATTGCACAAGCCTTTTCTACGAAAGACTTTGAATATCGAGAATACATCATGTAACTAAGTCACTTTATAATGAAGCTAATTAAGTTAACAAATTTAACTCAATCTATTCATAAAATGCATTAAAATTATTCGTAGAAAATTGTAAAAGCAACATGATTTATTGGCACGTTTTACGAGGCTGTCACGCGGCAATTCTTATCAAGCAATCCTTTAGGAGTAGAAGCGTAGATTCTACAAATTTCTATTTAACCTATAAAGATGCTGTTTAAGAAAATGTGCAAATACCCGAAAACGTAAACGCTCCTCCCCCTCCTCCTCCTCCTCCTCCTCCTCCCTCTCGCCACGCCGTCCGACTTCCCGCCTCCCCCGACCCTATTTCCCGCACGCACACGCACACACACGCACACACACACGCACGCACACACAATCTATGTCTGTCTGTCTCTCATTTTCTGTCACTACGATTCTATCTCTCTATCTGTATCTCACTCTGTTCGCATCAGGAAGCCGAGAAGCCGCCTTTACATACGCGATAAGTTCAGCGGGTATCACGTACGCAGTGACGGCCGCTTGCAGCCGAGGAAACATTACAGCCTGCGGCTGCGAGCCAACAATAAGGTAAGGACCTGAGTTTGCATAACGCTTTTTCATTTTCATACTGTCTCGCATGAACCGCATTATATTTTAAATCAACAGAATACAGAGACGAGAGTCGAACATAAATCGCTCGTGTTCCCTTATCTTTATTTCATATTGTTTTTCTTGCATTTTGTCTCGACGTAACATTGCGCGCTGTGACGCTCGCCCGGTTATTTATTAACATGCATTTCGAATATCTTTAGAGAATAATTTTTAGCGGACTTTAACGCGACCAGTGGGATGAAAGTCGATCGATTCCTAATCCCGATAAATCCGCTTTAAAGTGTAACGCGATAGCCGAAATGGACGGGGAGAGCTCTCTCGGGCGCGAGTTAAACCGGCGAAATCGGCCGTTATATCGGCGGATAATAAGAGCCCCTAATGTTATTAAACGAGAGAGGATGATTGTACGACTGAGACTAAGTAAAGTATATTTGATTTGAAGAACGCGGAAGGAGGTGCCACCGAACGGCTGGGAATGGGGCGGATGCAGCGCCGACGTTACCTATGGAATGAGGTAAGCGAGCCTTTTAATACCTTTTGCATCATCGATTTATAATGGGTTTAAGTTTGGAGAATGATAGAGCGAGCTCTGCCTCGTGTAATTAATTTTAGGAATTATAATATTGTTAATTAAATTTAGGTTCGCGCGTAGGTTTCTGGACGCGAGAGAAATTGAGGGCGACGCACGGAGCCTCATGAATCTGCACAATAATAAGGCTGGCAGGAAGGTTCGTAAAATTTTCTGTATACATATGTATATATATATATATATATATATATATACTAACATATATATTATTCTCGAGGTGGAGATTACGTACACTAGATATTATTGGGTATGCGCTGGGTAATAATCTCCGGCTTATAGATATATTTAATGAGCGAAATTTTAAATTACAGTTAAATTAACGTTCGAACGAAAGTCGACTTAAAAATTTAAAAATGAATCACGTTTTGATATATTAACTGAAAGAATAATTATATATATATATATATATATATATATATATATATATATAATTCTTGAAGCAGAGAATGCAATTTAGTCTAGCCCATTCGAAATATATTCCATGTCAATGTGAAGAAAATATGGACTTATTAATTTTCTTCATTACGGCCTTTAGTTTTCCGTTCGTCGCGATATCCAATGAGCCGTGCGTAGGAGTCGAGCTTACGCGAAAAGCACGGGAAAATTCGTCTTTCGATCGATACGAGCGCCCAGAGACTAATACATACTAAAGTTCAATAGATACTAAAGTGCAATAAGTATTGCGTGAATTAATGCCGCCGGGGGTAATTAATGTCCCACGGTGAAAAATTGCATCGCGATCATAGACTCGGACTCGATGTCACACTCGGCTTCTCCTGCTCGCACTTCAATGTACTTATGTAACGGCGCGTTAAAATACGTCCGGCTAAAAGCGACAAGGAAGGCGCGCGAGCCACGAAATTTATGAATTTAAATTGCGCGAACGGCCAACCACACCGATCCCCTACCTTCCGTTCCTTCGCTCGGCGCATTCGTCGATATGCCACGTGCAATAATGCATTATAATGTTTAAATGCACCTCTTTTTAATAAATCACTTAAGGCTATGCGCATAAATCGCAAGAGATATAGACATATCAGCGAGAATTTACGACACACCTGCTCCCGCTACCGTCGCTGAAGCTCATTTCATAAGCAAAAGTGAGTCGTGAGAGACGTGGCTCAATCTCTTATCTAATAATTCAATTCAAGAATGGCTCAATTGAGGGCGCGAGATCGCATTAAAGCTCCCCTCGTATTAAAGCTTTTTTGAGAATTCATCGTGTTACACCCGGGAGTATTGCTTGGAAGTGTTGCTGCGATGCGACGTTGTCACGGCGCATCTCAAACATTTTTTTTTTTCGCATCGCGCCAGTGACCGTTCCACCTGCGCTTAAGCCTCCTAATGCATTCGAACGCTTGGGAAATTATTAGGGGGATCGGATTAGGCCTTTCATGACCACCACAATGTATGACTCTCGCAATCGAACCACCTGGTAACAACGCTCGAGTTTCATTTTCTTTCATTCCTTCGCTCTGCCTACGATTAAGGGGATTTTTCAAGCGCAACGATTATCATTATGTCGAAGCCCCTCGCAATTCTTCCACGACGTTTCGCAAATAGTTGGATTATTTTTCAAAATTTTATCCTAACCGCGTGGCTCCTTCGAGTCGCGAATTTGTTGCTAAAAGTTTATCGTGCCAAGTGTAAAATTACTCATCATCTGCTTACGTCGAGTGGGCAATAGACAATAAATAGTTTTATTAGCCGAATATTAACTTTAAAGCGTAAATAATTTTAATGACGCGTTAAAAACATCATATTTTTTTTTTGTTTTGTTTTCGTTTCTTCTAAACGATTTATATTAGGCATTACGATTAGATTTACTAATAAATGCATTTTACAATCGTACACATGATTTAAGTAATTAATAATGATTTTATGCTTACTACATAAAGCTCTATGTACAGGACAATTTCAACGTATAGCACAATTTGTCAATTCAATTTCTTAAAATTAATTTTAAGAAACTTTTTACTTTACATCTCATTTCCTCGACTTATCTAAATTTAATATACTTACGATATTAAAAGAATCAATATTAATCAATATTAATCAATATTTGCTCCTGGCTATTAAATTGAAATTTCATTAAATTTAAATTAAATTCAATAATTATATAATGCAATCCAATGCAATTCTCGGGGCGTTCAATCGTAAAAGGTCCCCGATAAATGTGAGATAAATTAATACAATCGTTATAAATTGTGGACAAAGCGCCGTAATTAGAGCAAATGTTTTTAACGCAGAGACAAAAGATTAATAATAATGTTTAACGTGCCTAGTGCCACTCCTAATGCGCTTATATTGGATGCACGAGCGAACGTTTTAGGGAATACAAGATGTATAAATATTAAATTGTTATTTCTTCAATAGATGCGATATATTATTATCAATAATTATAAGCGCGTCGTTTAATGCCTCATAAATTAATCGGCTTGAATATAATATTTTCTATATTAAACTTACGGCCTAATGTTTAATATGTAAAATTATAGTTGGTGCGTGAAAATAAACAATGTTTATTAATGATTTTATTTAAATGTAAAGCGTAGATAATGAAGATTGTAAAATTTCAATATTTTCATGTTTATCGAAAGTATTTTACGAGATAATCACCTCAATTCTCCTTAATTTTAAACTTTTCTATTCTTATAGGCAGTCTAAAGTTATATATAAAAGCTTGTAAACAAATCGATCAAACTTATCATTAAAATTATCTCACAAAACGTTATGCAAGCTTTTTAATATTTAATGTTTAATTTTGTAACTACGTAGCGTGCAGAATTAAAAAGTTAGGATTACATTTTCGTATTTTAACATTGTTCGTCTCTTATGATGTGGTCGCATTTATATACTTGTTAAGAGAATTTTTAATATTAAAATACGATATTAAATAGGATCGTTCGAGGTGGGATATATTTCGGGTTACGGATTTGCCTGTACATGATTTATCTCAATTGAATTCAATTCAACGTACGAAAATTTGATATAATAAATTTAATTTTTTTTCTCTCACCCCCCCCCCTCTTTCTCCACGCTATGATGCTCTTTTCCATTCATATTTACATTCTCTTTTTTTCGAATTAATCTTAGTTCTCGGGTCTTAAAGCATCGCATTCTCTAAAATCCCTTCTTTCCTTCTTACTCGGACATCGCGCGATTATCTTCCTCGCTCTCTTCCTTTTTCTGCTGCTACTCCGCACGTCAATCTCCCTATCCTCATCCCCCTCATCCCGCTCGAACATTTCTCTCTTTTTCTTATTCTTCTCCCATTATTCTTTTTTGTTTGTAAAGACATATACGCGTGAGAGTGAGACGAAGACGAAGACGGAGACGGAGACGGAGACGGATACAGAGACAAAGAAAGATATAGAGAGAGGGAGAGAGAGAGAGAGAGAGAGAGAGAGAAACTATTCTGCGTTCTATCCTGGAGAATAAACGCTTTCTCCCTTTCCTTTTTACGTTGTTCTTCTTCTTTTTCCTTGTCCCAGCTTTATTTTCTACGTGTCGGGACACTTGCGCAGGCAGGAGCTCAGTATATACGGGCTCACGTCAAATTTAAACGATTCTGCTGTACAAAATCGTACGTCGTCTTTCGTTAGGGGCGACACGGAAGTGTATGCGTATTCTCTC